CCACTTAGTTATTATTTTTTTTATTCTAATTTCAAATTTTATCTTTTCAACTGTTCTGATTGCAGCAAACAAGATGGGTCACTTTACGAGCACTTCCATCCGGGAAAAGAGATATTTAGTAGTTCTCGACACCAAACACCGACCGCTAGAGAAGGGACCCGCTTCGCAGTTGAAGAACCAATCACTGGCGACTTTTCGAAGACGTGGCCAAAAGTTGCAGACTCCGTGACCGAGTGGACTCAAGAGTGTGCCTTCAGGAAGTCAAAAGCATGGATCTTACAAGCGACTCACCACAACCCGCAGGACGAGACAGAGTCATTGCCATTGCCGACTCTAGGACGACGTATCACACGAGGTGAAGCTGGATGGGGAGAAGCCATCAATTTTGGCGGTAAATTCCACTACACACGAGGGTACTCGGAGTGGACCGAAGACATACTTAGCCGATGCAGAAGCAACCTGATCAAGGCAGATATTTATGATGTTGTTTACGCCTCGCTTTTCACCTACGACTGCAATCTCGAGATCATCAAGGCATTTTGCGAAGCGTGGTGTTCTTCTACCAACACACTTTTAACGTCATCTGGGGAGCTTTCAATTTCGCTATGGGATCTGTTGGTGTTATATTCTTAAGCTTTGCTTTAGTGGATATTACACTTGTTATTTCTTGATGGACGAGAATTATGTTTGGTTAAATAAGTTCCACGTTCTGTTGTTTTGCATGTAGATAAGTGGGTCGTCATCGGGCGTACTGAAGATCACGATATCAATTACTTGCGAAACAAGAATCACTGGTTCACAACCTAGATGGAATTGAACAACCCATCGGAACGGTTGTAGTGTCAACCGTACGGTTTGTCTTGACCGATTAGTTGAACTAGTACATTTATGTATTGAAAAGGATCCCAGAGAGGGATGTTCGTTTTATACTGATCGTCGTAAACGAGCTAGGCCTCAGTTAATTATTGCGTGCTCTTAACCAGTAAGATATTAACTAGACATGTGCACATAATTGTTGTTGCTTTGATTGTTTGGGTGAGATCCAAGCCGGGTCGACATACTTAATGAATTGGATAATGACATTATGTGTTCGATGTGCTATTAGGATATTTACGGTCACCATGTGCGTTAGTCTGATGATGTCCCCGAGGTGAGTTCATGAAGGAATATTATGCTAAACCCTGCAGGTGGATTTATTCCGGCATAATATGAATTCTATGAGCGAGCGCTAGCTTCGGTAATATAATATATTAATTAATTCTTGATTATCAGTGATCGAATTAATTAATGGACATTATATCTTAAAACACGGGGAGGTAAATCGAATAATTATAATAAGGAGTCTCAAATGTAATTTGGGATAGGTGAGGGGAGTGCAATAATATTATTGTGGTGGACTTTAATATTATTAATATATTAATTATGGGGTTGCTCCACAGTATTAATATATTAGAAGCCCTTATCCTATTCTCCTTAGGGTCCCTACTGTAGCTCTATATATACAGCATTAGGCTCTTGGAAGAGAACACACAATCCCATACCCTAGCAAACACGTCCGCCCCTCTCTCTCTCTTCCAAGGAGTTGTTCTATTTCTTGTGCTCCACTGATACAAGATCTAGATAGCTGTTGAGAATACAGTAAAAGATCTTAAGGTATATACGGGATTCCAATCAAATCTATCACCCATCCAAACCGGAGACCAAAACCGGCAAGTGACCATACCACGACGACCAGGACGACGAGTCGGAGAGATCGCCGTCAAGATCGCCGCCAGCCGCCGCCGCACGCGCCTACACGCGCAACCGGAGGATTGCTGCTGCTGAGACTC